GACCTTAGTAGACTACATTTTAAAAAATATGGAACACCTCCCTCTCCCAGCAGAATACCTAATATCCTTTTTATTCATCTAATTTCAGTTCATACAAAATGTGTTAAATCTTTTCCTCAGTTTGGAATTCCATAAGCATAATTCTATCCCTAGATGCTTTAAACACAATAACATTTACTTTACTTGATTCAAGACAAATTTAGGTGTCTGTTGCAAGACTTCCCTTTCCTACCATTGAAATACTTTTTGCCCAATTATTAAATACTCTATATACAGTTAATTACATTAAGGCCAATTCCTAAATGAAAAAGGAAAATTTGAAAGGGAACATGAATATTCAAGCAATTTGAAAGAAATATCTAGAAGTGGTGTGAGAGTGAGAAGCTGAATTGATTATGGAGATGATTACTATGATCAAATACCCTGGATAGGTTTCCTCCCCTCACTTGAACTTCCTAGACCTTGCTTCAGATAACATGTCTGTTAGTAGGTAACTCTTAGGGCTTCAGTAACAGGTTAGTTCTGAGTATAAGAATTGAGCATACTTAGATATAGTACAAAATAAATTTACAAAGGATGGAAAGAGGGAGTCCATGACTTACTGGCATATTGAAAACAAAAATATCCAAATGAATACCAGCTAAATCAGTCTATTATGAAGTCTAAAAACTCACTCCATCTCTTATATTCACACGAGTGAATAAATCTGAAAAGTGTAAACATGTTTAATGGATTTGAAAATAATTTTTTGAGAAGAACTGGATTAAAATTAAGTATTTCTGTGACTTTACATTTTCAAAAAACCTTCAACACATATGCTAAAGTACCAGTTAAAAAAAAAAAAAAAGGAAATAACACCAGTTCAACAGTTCAATTATTTTCTTCAGCACTATCTAATGAATTCTTTGTAGAAATAGAAAAGATGTCTAGAACTTAAGGGGAAAAATGTGTTCTACGTTTCTTCTCACAAGGGAGTCTAGTAATTAAAAGGCAGTCAACATGTCTGTTTTGGTGGGATAAATAAATGAGACAAGATTGAAAAGACCAACAGTAACTAAACATATTACCAGCCATCAAAAATGAAAATACAATTGTCTTGTGCTCAGAGAAAAGCTTACATGTATAAATGTGGACATATGTGTGACTGTGTGTATATAGATAGATAAGAAAAAGAGCTAGAGAGAGTATGCTATGAATCATCAGGGTCCAATCAGAGCATCAGAAGTAAAGCAAATAATGGTAAAATATAATTATGGAGGCGATGCAAAGTTTAAATAGGGAAATAAATGTTTGTGAGTCATAATCAGTTTACATTGATAGCCACAGACACTGATGATAGAAAAATATTACTAAAATTCAATTTACTATAAAACAAGCCATGATAGCAAAATGGGACCTTTAGATTCAAAAGAACATCAGGACTTTAAAAAAAATGATTTTCATAAAACCTTTCTGAAAAATGATGATAACTTGATTACAGGTAAAATATACAAACTCACATGTATTGCTCTAAGTCTGTATGAACTGAATATGCCACCACCAATAGTTTTTATAAGAGAATCATTTTTAAAAATCACTTGATGGACTTGTGCAGGAGGCAGGAAAATAAAATCTCACCTCATTAGTTGTAGGGTCACATTTGCTCAAACCGGTAACTGAATCTTCAACTATCAAGAGAGGCTCGCTTTTCTCACAGCTCTCCTGGCTGATGAGCGTGTCCGCGTAGTTGGGCTGCGGGAAGATCAGGTGACTCTTCCGCGAGTCCGCGGTCAGGGAGACCTCGTGCGAATACGTCTGCAGGAAGGCCCGCACCCCGTCCACGCCCACAAAGTGCGAGGCAGGCACGCCTACCAACCCTCCTCCTGAAGCCTGGAGCAGACGTGATGTGTGCCAACGCCGCAGTCTGAGTGCCAGAAGTATGACCACAAAGGTAAGAAAGACGCAGGAGACAGCAGCCACCGCCATCACCAGGTACAAGGTAAGGCCTGAGTCATCGGGGTTGGTGGGAGACTCCAGGCTGCCCAGGTCGGCCAGGACGTCTGGGATGCTGTCAGCCACGGCCACTGTGAGTGTGACCGTGGCTGAGAGGGGAGGCTGTCCGTGGTCCTGGACCACCACCACCAGGCTCTGCTTGAGCGCGTCTCTGTCCAGCAGGGCACGCGCAGTGCGCACCTCGCCCGTGTGCAGCCCCACCACGAAGAGCCCTGGCTCGCTGGCCTTGAGCAGGCGGTAGGACAGCCAGGCGTTCTGGCCTGAGTCTCTGTCCACTGCCACCACCTTGGTTATCAGGTATCCGGGCTCTGCGGAGCGGGGTGCCAGTTCCACGCCGGTGGAGCCATCAGTGGGGAGCGAGGGGTACAGGATCTCTGGAGCATTGTCATTCTGGTCCAGCACAAATATGCTCAGGGAAACGTTGCTGCTGAGTGGAGGCTTCCCACTATCCTGTGCTATCACTTGTAGTTGCAGGTCTCGGAACTGCTCATAGTCGAAGGAGCACAGCGCATACAGGACCCCCGTGTCCGAGTTGATAGAGATGTAGGAGGACAGGGGAACTCCCTGGAAGGTGTCCTCAATCAGGGAATAAGTGACCCTGGCATTTTCTTTGCTGTCCCAATCAGATGCTGTCACAGAGAAAAAAGAGGCTCCTCTGGGGTTGTTTTCAGGAATGTAGGCGGAATAAGAGGAGTGAGCAAAAGTGGGTGGGTTATCATTGTCATCTGCTACATTCAGTGAGATGTGAGTTTTTGTAGACAAGGGTGGACTTCCTTGGTCTGTAGCAGTCAGTGTTATATTGTAACTTTGGATCTGCTCTCTGTCCAGAGCTCTGTTTGTTATCAACTTATAATAATTTCCATATGTCTTTTCTAAATTAAAAGGCAGACTGTTAGGAATGAAACAAGAGACTTGACCATTTTCCCCAGAGTCTTGATCTTGCACATTTAGGAGAGCAATTACTGTACCTGGAGGAGAGTTTTCCAGCACTGAGTTAGTAGAAGATGTGATAGTTATTTCTGGAGCATTATCATTCACATCCACAACTGTGATCAACATCTTAGCAGTGGTTGAGAGACCTCCACCATCTTGGCCTTGAATTTCCATCTCATAGGATTTATATTTCTCAAAATCCAGAGGCCCCTCTATTGAGACTTCTCCAGTTCTAGGATCCAACTGGAATACTTCAGAAACTTTGCTTTCCACATTCCGGAATGAATACACCACTTCCCCATTGATTCCCTCATCTGGATCAGTTGCATTTACTGTGAGCACCCGAATTCCAGAGCTGAGGTTCTCGGGAACACTCACTCGATATACAGACTGTGTAAACTTTGGGGTATGGTCATTTACGTCGAGGACCACCACGCGAATGGGAACAGTGCCCTGGCGGATGGGATCTCCTCCGTCTAAGGCTGTGAGCAGGAGGAGGTGAGCAGCCTCTTTCTCTCGGTCCAGGCTCCCCTCCAGCACTAGCTGGGGATTCTTGGCCCCATCGGTTCTGCCTCGCACTTGCAAGGAAAAGTAACTGTTAGGGTTGAGTTGGTAGTGCTGTAGGGAGTTCACTCCTACGTCTGGATCCCTAGCATTAGGAAGGGGAAATCGCGATCCCGGAGTTGCGTGCTCACTGACTTTTATCTCTATTTCCTCCTCCCGGAAGCTGGGGGCGTTATCATTAATATCCATTATTTCCACTTCCACTCCGTATATCTTGAGGGTATCTTCCACAAGTATCTCCATATTTAAAAAACAGGAGGGCATCGTCTCACAGAGCTCCTCCCGATCTATCCTACCTGCAGTGATCAAGCTGCCACTTCGCGGATGCAGCGCGAAAAGCGGCGTCTTTCCTCTGGAGATGATGCGGACGCCGCGCTCCGCCAGCTCCCACGGCTCCAGACCCAGATCCTTGGAAATGTTGCCCACGAAGAAGCCTTTGTCTGTCTCTTCGGGCACCGAGTATCGGATCTGCCCGGCCCCAGACTTCCGCAGTGTCCCCAGGAAAATGCACAGTAGGACCAGCCCGCTGCGGTCCAGGCGTGGTAGCTGATTCGCCATGGCAACGGCTGAGCCCATATTCCGCGATTTCTTGAGCCCGTTTGTTCTGATCCTGCTTATGTATCTACGAAGTCCCAGGCCGACTGCATCCAAAATATATTAAAGAGCGAAGGGAAGTCCGTACTTTAAGTTTCCAGCATCAGGATCTGTGAGTATCCATCTCACTCTTTGTGTCATAGAGGTGGGGGAGGAAGGGACTCTAGCTCGCTGCTTCTCATTCCCTGGTTGGTGAACAGCGGCGCCTGGAGTCCAATCTTATTATTGCAACGAGTAAGAAAACCCAATAATGTGCATGTTCCAGAAGTTAATAAATACACTCACCTACTTGACAATCATTTGTACAGAATATGTAAAGTGTAAATCACAGACAACAAGGAGTTACATAACGTGATGTTAAAAGTTTACCAAGAGCACTTTTGGAAAGAGTAATTATTAAAAGGGATTACTTAACTTTTTAAAAAGTTTTCAAACATTACTGGAACTGAAAACTTGCAGGTTAGATTTGGTTCTTATTGATATTTACCAACTGAAGAGAACAGCGTTTTTGATGTGGAACTAGCACGGTCCCAACAAATCATCAGATAGGATGCATGACTATAATTCTTACCATTTTTTTAATTGAGAAAAATTAAGATGTTTGAAACGTTTGAGAAAATTTGGATGGCAATAGGGCTATTTTAAAATACCACAAAGTAAAGTGTACCTGTATGCCATATCCTTAATTAAAAGGTATTTTATTTCATGAAAATTTCACCTGAGGTCTCTATATATTTCCCTTAAAAATGCATTTGAATAGTAGAAGGATCACAGCATTGTAAACTTTAGTCTTAACATTGATACCAGTGGATTTGACCAAGGTTTACTTTAGGGACTCTATCAAGAGATTGAACACGGGATCTATATATTGGTGTGCGTTGGCATTGTGGAATAAAAACATTATTTTAACTACTTACCTGTTTTAAAGTCTTCTTATCTGCTTCAACACTAGGAGTTAGAATGCTAGTCAATAATGCTAAAGAGTTGTCTTTGTTGAGAGTCTCTTGCTTGGCTGTACAATCAGCAGATGTGAGAAAATTAAATGCTGGGTCAGTTTGATCCCCAGGCACACACAAATTATAGGCATAGGGCAAAGTACCCTCACTGTAGTTGGGAGGAAGCTCCAGTCCAGACTTGGAACAGAGAACAGACCCAAAGCAGCCGCCAGTGGCGGGGCTGGAGGAGCGTCGCAGGTGCAGAGCAACCGCTAGAATCACTGCGAGCAGGAAGAGCACGGAGATCAAGGCCAAGGCCACCACCAGGTAAAACTGCAGCTCAGCCTGGGGGTCGGACGGCGCTGGGCGTTCGCTGAGGTCCGGCAGGGCCTCTTGGAGGCTGTCAGCGAAGACCAGGAGCAGCGTGGCGGTGGCCGAGAGGGGCGGCTGTCCCCCGTCGCGCACCGCGACCAGCAGGCGCTGGCGCGCCGCGTCCCTGTCGCCCAAAGCACGCGCCGTGCGCACCTCGCCCGTGCGCAGCCCCAGGCTGAACAGGCCCGGCTCGCTGGCCTGCAGCACGTGGTACGACAGCCAGGCGTTGTGTCCCGAGTCCGCGTCCACCGCCACCACCTTGGTGACCAGGTAGCCGGGCTGCGCGGCGCGCGGCACCGTGTCGAAGAGCGCGGAGCCGTCGGGCCCCAGCGCCGGGTACAGCACCCTTGGCGCGTTGTCGTTGCGGTCGTCCACCAACACGCGCAGGCTGACGTTGGCGCCGAGCGCGGGCGAGCCCAGGTCGCGAGCCTGCAGCGTCAGCTCGAAGGCGCGCAGCTGCTCGTGGTCGAAGGCGCGCTGCGCGAACACCACCCCGCTCTGCGCGTTCACGGACACGTAGGACGACAGCGCCCGCGGCTCCAGGTCGCTGGCCACGATGGAGTAGGAGACGTGGCCGTTGGGTCCCAGGTCGGGGTCGGAGGCGCTGACCTGCGCTATGGAGGCCCCGGGAGGGTTGTTTTCTGGCACGTGGACCAGGTAGGCGGACTGTTGGAAAACCGGAGCGTTGTCGTTGACGTCGGTGATGTGCAGGGTGAGGGTGGTGCTGGAGGAGAGGGGCGGCTTGCCTCTGTCGGTGGCTGTGATGGTGACGTTGTATTCTGGAGTCCGCTCTCGATCTAGAGCCCCATCTGTCACCAGCTTGTAGTAATTATTAGAAGAAGAATGAATCTTAAATGGAATATTTCTACTTAAATTACATGTGACCTCTCCATTTTCCCTGGAATCCCGGTCCCTTGTTTTGAAGAGGGCCACAACCATTCCTGGAAGGGAATTCTCCAAAATCTTATCAGAGAGAGAAGTAATGATTATTTCTGGGCTGTTGTCGTTTTTGTCTAGAACTTCCACAATTACTTTACATCGTGTAGAAAGAGATCCTCGGTCCTTTGCTTCTACATCCATTATGTATCTTTCTACTTCTTCAAAGTCCAAGGGTTGCTGAGTTACAATGTTTCCTGAAGCAGAATCCAAAGAGAACACGTGCTGGGCTTTATCAGTCACACCAAAGAAGGAGTAGGTGACCTCTGCATTGAAGCCTTCGTCCTGGTCCACAGCACTCACCCTCAGCACAGGGGTGCCCGGGGGCACGTCTTCTGGAAGGCTGACCCTGTACACATCTTGACTGAACACAGGGGGGTTATCATTGGCATCCACCACCAGGATTCGGATCTGAGCAGTGCCACTTTGGGGCGGGTCCCCACCATCTAAGGCTGTTAGTATCAAGTGGTGGGAGCTCTGCGTTTCTCGGTCCAGGGTCTTCTTCAATATTAATTCTGGATATTTGCCACCATCGGGGTTGTCTTTCACCACCAATGAAAAATATTCATTAGGACTTAGTTGGTATTTGCTCAGTGAATTCATACTTATATCAGGATCTTTTGCGGAGTCAAGAATTGTTCCCATTCCTGGGCTGACAGATTCACTGATTTCTAAGTTTATTTCATCTTTATGGAATTGAGGAGCATGGTCATTAATATCCTCAACATTCACAATGATATGGAAAATATTTAAGGGGTTTTCCACCACGGCTTCCAACTGCAACTCACATCTTCTTCTCTCTTTGCAAATCTGCTCTCGGTCTATTCGGTTCTTCACGAGTAAGTTCCCGCTCACCCCGTCTACATTGAAAAGTAGCTTCTCCGCGCTAACTCGCAGCTTCCGAGCTGATACATCCAGGACACTGAGCCCTAGATCTTTGGCGAGGTTCCCCACCACCGAGCCCTTGGCCAGCTCCTCGGGAATCGAGTAGCGGATCGGCTCGCAGAGCGCGCGGTAGAACAAAGGCAGCAGGAAGGGAAACAGTACCTGCGGCCGGCCGGCTCCGCGTCTCTGCGTGCAGCTCCCTCCCATCTTTCGCTCTATTTTCCGCTGGGTCTCAGTCTTTCCAGTTGGAGAAAGTGCACACTATCGCACTGGAAGGGCATTCAGCCCAGGACAGGCGGAGCCCCCAGTCTTGGGGCTTGGAATGCACTTATGCTGGGTCAGTCTGCGCAGCAAGGAGCCCTAGTGTAAACCGGTTTCTCTCAGTGCGGGTGGCTGCGCAAGAAATCCCAGGCTTGAGGCTGAGAAATCCTGGGCGTCAGCGCTTGCCCTGCACTGGCCGACAGCGGCGCCCAGAGGCCTCGTGTGGAACCGCAGCTTATGTTTTCTCCATTTCAGGCAATCTTTTTCTTTGAATGTAAGATAACAGCTAAAATATTTCAATCTTATTCCTCAGTGATTCTGTTTTCATCATGAAGCATGTTTTTCACATGATCAAAACTCTATATTTTATATTTTAAAACTTTATATAAATCTGAATAGATAAAAGTATTTTTAAAAAGTCAAAAAAGGCACAAAAGACTGTACAGTGAAAAGTAGGTCTCTATCCCATGGCCCACTGCTCTCCAGTTCTTCCATCCAGAGGTAATCATTTAAGAGTAATTATCCACAAAGGAAAGTACTGAGGATAAGCAAAAAACTTTTTTTGTCTTCAATCTTGTCTTGTATTTGGCAAAAAAGTATTAATCCATCCTCCCACACTTAGGAACTAGAATCTAACCATTGCCATATTGATTGCAATAATCTAAAGTGTCCTGTGTTGCTCTTAAATAATTATATTTAAAAACATTTGCTTTAAAAGCTACCATGTCAGAGTAGTCTTTTTAAAACTGTATTTTTCAAAAATAAAAGAATTATTTGAGATGGGTGCATAATAATTTTGACTCTCATAGAAAGACATTTTAAGTGACAGTTCCAATGATTAAAAAGTTCATAACTATGACCCTGAAGGGTGTGTTCTCCTTCCATAGAACTATCATTGAATAAATGTTGAATGACATGAAAAAAGTAATGTTCTCATAAGTATTTTAAGACACACTGGACACTCTTTGCCTTTATGCTAACAATAAATTAAAAGAATATTAATACTAAATTAAAAGTAAGAGATCAAACCAATCCATCACTATCCACAATAACCCAACAAGGTTCATCAGTAATTCCACTAATATTTTGATTAGAATGATGTTGCATAATTCTCTGCTTACACTTGGATCAGATCTCATGCAAATATAACACTTCTTTCTTGACTTTAAGTTTATTTTGACTCAATTTCAGAGTTTTCAAAGATTCAGGTAGACCTTTCTTCCACAACATTAAGGAGCCACTGTAATACTCTTGGCACACATCCCTTGCTCTTGTTCTTGGGAACGTGAACAAATCTATCTGTCTCTCTAAATAATATACATTTTTTCAGCCTCAGAAACTGGAGAACCTAACAAAAAAATACAAAGAGAGCATAACACAAAATTTGCTAATTTAACCTTCTATACATCTTCTAGAATCCCAACTGAGCAAGGAAAGTCAAATCAGAATTCTATGTCTCGCATGTAACAGTATGAAATTAGAATCACAATCAAAAAGGATACTGCCTTTTCCAGGTGTGATCACACATGGAGAAATTTAAGTACACATTGTTATGGTTTCTTATATACTATTGATGAAAATTTTAAATCTCCAGGAAGTATATTTAACCATAACTGTCATCACAAGTTTTAAAACTATAACCACAAAGGTGTATTTCTTCCCTTCTCCTTGAAAAGAACAACGTTGAATGGCTTTGTGTTTGAGTTATGTTTCCAGTGTTGCTTATGCATTTGTTTCTGACATTTACCTATTTTCACCAGACCTGCCTTCAACACCAGAGCTAGGATTTCAGCATGTGGCCAACAGGACAGTCCACCAAACTATAAAATATAAGACTCTACAAAGCTAATTGTTACAATCTTAGACAGAAGACCTTCATTGCCATTATGTAGATATTTACCAGAAAGTAAAAACACAGCCTTAAAAACGGACAAGTTCTACTCTGGATTATTTATGAAGAAGCACATTGAAACTAAGGAAAAGTGAAAGAATAAAGGTTAAAAATTCCTATCACCATGCTGCAAACATAAACACAAAACGAATCATAATTTTTTTTAAATGAAAGGAAAGGAATAAGAACAGAACTCACAGGAACCAAAGGAGTATCTTCTATAGGAAACTTCGAATCATCTAACAAAGACAAAGGATCCTTTTTCTCACAGCTCTCCTGGCTGATGAGCGTGTCTGCGTAGTTGGGCTGCGGGAAGATCAGGTGACTCTTCCGCGAGTCCGCGGTCAGGGAGACCTCGTGCGAATACGTCTGCAGGAAGGCCCGCACCCCGTCCACGCCCACAAAGTGCGAGGCGGGCAAGCCTGCCAATCCCCCTCCTGAAGCCTGGAGCAGACGTGACATGTGCCAGCGCCTCAGCCTGAGTGCCAGCAACACGATGACAAAGGCAAGAAAGACACAAGAGACAGCAGCCACTGCCACCACCAGGTAGAGCGTGAGGCTGGAGTCGTCAGGGTCGGCGGAGGGTTCAAGACTGCTCAGGTCGGCCAGGACGTCTGGGATGCTGTCAGCCACGGCCACTGTGAGTGTGACTGTGGCCGAGAGGGGAGGCTGTCCGTGGTCCTGGACCACCACCACCAGGCTCTGCTTGAGCGCGTCTCTGTCCAGCAGGGCGCGCGCAGTGCGCACCTCGCCCGTGTGCAGCCCCACCACGAAGAGCCCTGGCTCGCTGGCCTTGAGCAGGCGGTAGGACAGCCAGGCGTTCTGGCCTGAGTCTCTGTCCACTGCCACGACCTTGGTCACCAGGTAGCCAGGTTCTGCAGAGCGGGGTGCCAGCTCCACACCGGTGGAGCCATCGGTGGGGAGCGAGGGGTACAGGATCTCTGGAGCATTGTCATTCTGGTCCAGCACAAATATGCTCAGGGAAACGTTGCTGCTGAGTGGTGGTTCCCCACTATCAGTGGCAGTCACCTGCATCTGTAGGTCCCGAAACTGCTCATAATCAAACGACTGAAGTGCATACAGTACTCCTGTGTCAGAGTTGATGGAGACATAGGAGGATAGAGGTGCCCCCTGGATGGTGTCTTCAGCTAAGGAGTAAATAATCTGAGCATTCTCTTTGCTGTCTGGGTCTAGTGCAGTCACCGAGAAGATGGAGGCACCTCTGGGGTTGTTCTCTGGGATATAGGTAAAGTAGGATATGCGAGAGAAGGTGGGTGGGTTGTCATTGATATCTGCCACTTGCAGGGTGAAGTAAGTTTCCGTTGACAGGGGTGGACTTCCTCCATCTGTGGCTGTTACAGTAATATTGTAAGAGGGTACCTGCTCCCTGTCAAGAGCCATGTGTGTCACCAATCTATAGTAACTGTCAATGGACTTTTCTAACTTAAATGGCAGATTCCCTGATATGGAACAGGTGACCTGTCCATTCTGCCCAGAGTCCAGATCGTGCACGTTTAAAAGAGCTATAACAGTCCCCAGAGGTGCATCTTCCTTCAGGGGACTAAACAGAGATGTGATGGTCACCTCTGGACTGTTGTCATTTACATCTTCTACTGTAATCAACACTTTTGCGGTTGCGAGATATGCTCCACCATCTTCCGCTTGTATTTCTATTTCATAGAAACCTGTTTCTTCATAATCTAGATTTTCTGATATTTTTATTTCTCCAGTATTTTTGTTTAGTTGGAATTTCAACAACTGTGTGTCAGGTAATTTTCGGAATGAATATGTCACTTCTCCATTGGCTCCTTCATCCCTGTCGGTGGCTGTGACTGTCAGCAGCTGTGTACCCACAGGCAAGTTCTCGGGAACACTCACTCGATATTCAGGCAAGGTGAAGACCGGAGCGTTGTCATTTGTATCGAAGACAGTAACACTGATGAGGACAGTGCCCGATCGGAGAGGGTCACCCCCATCGGAGGCAGTGAGGACCAGGTGGTGCTGTGCCTCTTCCTCTCGATCCAGGGCGTGCTCCAGCACCAGCTCCGGGTACTTAACCCCGTTGGCGCGGCTCTGAACTGCTAGGGAGAAGTGCCTATTGGGGCTGAGCTGGTAGCTTTGTAGGGAGTTCACGCCCACATCCGGATCAACAGCTTCCAGGAGAGGAAAACGCATTCCTGGAGCGACGTTTTCATTAATTTTTACGTCTAGATTTTCGGCTTGGAATTTTGGGGCATTATCATTGATATCAGTTACTTCTATTTCTATCCCGAAAAGTTTCACCCTATCTTCCACAAGAATGTTAAAATTCACCAGACACCGCGCGCTCTGAGCGCAGAGCTCCTCCCGGTCTATCCTGCCCGCGGTGACCAAGCTGCCACTCCGCGGGTTCAGAGCGAAAAGCTGCGTCCTACCTCTTGAGACGATGCGGACTCCGCGCCCCTCCAGCTCCTGGGGCTCCAGCCCCAAGTCCTTGGAAATGTTGCCCACGAAGGAGCCTTTGTCCAGCTCCTCAGGCACCGAGTAGCGGATCTGCCGAGCATCAGCCTCCCATGGCACACCGAGGAAAAGGCAGAGCAGAACCAGCGCGCTGCGGTCAGAACGATTCCTTTGAGCGGCCATTGTTGTTCGGGCACGGAATTCTGGCAATGTCCTGCCTGGACACGTTGTGTGTTTTGACCGGCTTCCTTTTGTTTCTCTGGCTGCAGGGAGTCTCTGTAGCCTCAGCACCTTAAATTCTGGAGTAAGTGTCCCTTCAACCTCGGAGCGGGCGTGTAGAATTGTGGAGCTTTGTGTAGTTAAAGACCTGAGAATCCGAACTGAGCGCTGGCAGCGTTTCTCTCCTAGTAGGTGAACAGCGGCGCTCAGAGTCCTCAGAAGTTACTGCACCCACTCTGTACGTATGCCGTAGAAAACAAAGGCTACTCTTTGTTGGAGATTTTACTTTACATTACTTCTTTTGTTGCTCAGCTAGTATCATTAAATCAGCTACTATTAGGAGGTTTCTTACTGGGTGGGATAAAGTGGAATGAAAGTATTATAAAATATTAAATGAAAATAGTTGGCTAAATATATATTTCAACGCTTATTTTTCCAATAGAAATATATTCCCTTTAAAAGGTAAGTAATAGTTATTTTATTTCCTATTAACTTATATATTCAGAAAAGTCTCACAATTTTATATGAAATTTAGATTTAAACCGTGCGGTTATGTTTAGACATTCATATAAAGACTATGAGATATACCCCTAACAATTCACTTAGAATCTTTTTATTTTTATTTTTATTTTATTTAGAATGAATTAAATGTGTTTAGCATTAAGATTGTATACAGGATTTTCAAAAGATTCTTTTCTAAAATACTTTTACTGAGCTTCAATGAATCTTTTAAAATGTATTTTTAGTTTTAGGCATATATTATTAGAAGTCGGCTTGATTTCTTTAAATGAATTGAGCAGGTAATCACAATCTAAGCACAACATATCTGTGTTGTAATGGGAAGAGATATATGTTCAGGAATTTCAAAAGTCAGGAATAGTGATGTAGGTTTTAAAAAAAATAA